GCAGCAGAACACACTTGAATGACTTATTTTAAGAGGTTACTGAAGAAAAGAAAGAAAAACTCTGGAGTTTGCAGTATCTATCTCTGAAATCCTGGGGGGGGGGGTGATACAAATTTATTTTGCTCACATAATCTGGGCAATAAAATTAGGGCACAATCATAGAAACATTTTGGAAAATAATGCCCAGGATGGGAGTAAAGCAAATCATGAGGCGATTTCTAGACATTGGTGTTATTTTCATATTGAGGCCAGGCTGCCTCTGACACTGCTTTCCAGGGAGACGGCAAGGTGTGCCCCAGGGACACAGTAATGCCCAGAGCTACGGTGCAGCTTCTCTTATCTCATGCTGACAAACACCCATTTTCTGCCCGGTATGTTTGCCCTCTTTCCCAGGGGTCACATGCAGTGACTTCCAGGGGAAGCCCCTGTCAGGGTCAGGAGAGAACGCACAAGCTCTGCTCCTGTCCTGGCCAGGATGACAGACATGGTGACACCACTCATAGAGAGAGGTCACAGAAAGTAACACCACACTTTACAATTTGAATATTCTCTTGGGGTGATGGCAAAGAATTCAAAACTCTGTTTGTAGAGACTCAAAAATCCCTCTCTTAGGGAAAATTTTACCAAGAAGCAAGGGCATGTGGCTCAGCTGCACAGCACCTGCCTGGCAAGCACCAAGTCTGGAGGAGTTCAATTCCTGGCGTGAAAAAGCAAGAAAAAACAAAGCGAAAACAAAGACTCCCAGGACAGGAAGAGTTCAAAGCAGTATCAAGAGGAGTTTGTGGTCAGTGTTGTTATGGGCAGAATGGGTTTTTAAATTTTAAGACAGTATATTCATTTCCTAAGTGGTGTAACACACTGCCACACTTAGTCACTTAACTAACAGAAATTAATTCTATAGTTCCAGAAAGCAGAAGTCTGTAAGGGGTCGTACTAACAGCTAGAGTTGTGTTCCTTCAGGAAGGAAGGGAGAATTACCCAGGGTAGAACCCTGAAAAGTCCTGGTTCTAGAGTCTACCTACATTGCTTAGTTCCGGGTTCTTTCCTTCATGTTCTAACTAGCAAACACCCCAGTCTGACCCCCAGTTCTGTGATTGGCTGCATCTCCTCTTTCCCTTCCCTTCCCTTCTAAGGACCTTGTGCTTACAGTGTACCCATCTGACTGACCCAGGATAATCTTTCCCGTTTTGAGATCCTTCATTTATCTGTATTTTCAGTCTTTTATGCTATGTAAGGTATCATAATTCTTTGGTTCTGGGATTAGAGTGTAGTTATTAAGAGGGTCGTCATGATGTCACCCATAGGCCATTGTGTACAGCATCAGCTATAAGGAAAAAATAAAATGACCAAATAGCGCTTCCTCGATTCCCCCTTTTCAACCAGGAAACGTTCTTTTAGACATATACACATTTTTGTAAATACTTTACCAATACATTTTCCTACAGTAACATTTATATTAGTGAAGTAAGTAGATTTTACCAAACACATAACTTGATGAACTTGATCAGTGTATACATGTGATTAATCACCATACCAACAGAGACAGAGGATTTACCAGTCTAAAAGCAAATGCTGCAGATTTCATACTTCTCAATGTCTTTTCATTATTGAAACTTTAAAAAAGTGAATTTTAACTGATCTGCCACCATACACAAGACATACACACAAATAAGTCAACATAAACTCACAAATCCATGTATTAGTGAAAATACATGTATGTCAGGTGCTTTGCATCTTCTTGTTTTTCGAGGCTAACTGAATCGCTTTACTTAGTTTTCTTTCTCCTTGTTCATGCTGACAAATGTGTCCTCTGCCCTGAAATCCACCCACGTCTTGTCTCACTTTGACTCTCAAGTAGAGGCAGCCATATGCATTCCTACAAATGCTCTTAGAACTTTTCAGAGGCTAGGGACCCTGACCTCCTGACACCGGCTTAGCCCTCTGACCTCCAACATTTTGACAAATCACCTTCATTAATTTTTTTTTTCATATAGTGAGATCTTCATATCCACGTCTTAGGAAAATATTTTAGTGTATAGTTGAGATCCCTGAATAGATTCATTGCTAGTATTATAACCTCTTCATTGAATTTTGCATATCTAGTTTTATTTACCAGTATTAGTGGTGTTAATTACAAGTTCTTACTTTTTGGAATATATTATTAATGAATATGAATTATAAATGAGGTAACTGGTTTTTTTAAAAAAAATTAATTGTTTTTCCCTAAGTAGAATAAGTCAGCTATAACATAATTTAAGACATATATTGGTTAATAAAGCCTAGAAAATAAGGATTAGATAACCTTAAAATTATACTTAAAGCTTGAGCGGTCATAAATCTAAGTGTGTTGGAAAAGAGAAAACCAAATGGAAGCATCTCACCTTAGTAAAAGGTAGTAGGCATAAATAAATACATCGCACTGTGTCATTTTCAAAGGACAACTGGAACAGAAGTGCTGCAATCTGGTGGATATCACAGATCTCTCGCCAGTGGCCTGAGTTGGAAAAGTCTGCGGAATATGTTTTAGAGATAATAAGAGAAAAACATTCCCAGGTGAGCTGCAAGAGTGGGCCTCACAACAGCGTTTTTGTCATTGCTGAGCGAATCAAGACAAAAGCCAGTGCCAAGTTCTCTGAACTGACCCAAGAGGCAACATCAATGCACATGAATCAAGGTTGACAGAAGTCCTGGATGAGAGGTGCAGCCAATCACATCCAGATGCGGACAGCCTCAGATGGAGGTGGGAGGCTTAAGTAGCAGGACACTGCAGACGGAAGGATCCATCTGCTGGGTTTATCACTTACCAGCAGTGCTTATGGCTTCCCACTTAGGCAAAGCAGGGAATTAAACATGGACATTCAAGTTTCAGTTGTATTCATTCAACAAACTTTGGACAAATGTAAAGGGCTATTTTTCTTAAAATTTTAATATTGCAAGACCCAAAGAAAATGGAGTTCCTTAACTATCAATACACAAACTGCTGATCTGGTCAGTTACCCTGGTTAAACCTATATGTCTATTTGTGTGCGTATGTCAAATTTTAAAAATTCAATTAAAATATTAGATCATGGTAATCATTTGTTGGTAAAAGAATACAATTTACAGAATGTGGACTTTGGTGCCAGATCATCTAGGGTGTGAATTTCTGCCAAACTCTGTGTTAATACATAAACATGTTATGCTACTTAACTTTTATAGCTTTAGCTTTCATCATGCATAAAATGAAGATGATACTTATCTCACTAGTTTTTATGAAGATTAAGTGTGATCATAGATTTGAGGTGTGTCACATGACTCACACAGAACTAGCTTCCCATCGAGGATTTCTAGTGTTTCCCCTGCATTTCTGCTCTTCCTCCTTATCACCATCCTTTGGTAGAAGGTAGCAGGTGTTGGATTTGCAGATTGAACTCAGAATTAAAAATGTCATCAGGCCCAGCAGTGCTGGAGAGTTTGATACAGTTCTGTATGACAAACCTCATGTTTTGCTCCATTAAGAGGAAAATCATACCCCATGCAAGAAGATGATCTTCTTAAGCAATTCTTCTGGGTAAGACAAAAGACCAAGTACTCACTATGTCAGGCTGAGGAAGAGTAAAGCATGCAGCAGTTATGCTCTCCACTTGAACACCTGGCCACCTCCACATGGCCCGATCCTGGCAGCAGGTGTTTTGGGGATGTGAACTCTCTGTTTTCCAGGTGTATTATTCACTTTTATGTTGCTGGTACAAAATCCTGCACACTCATGGTGTAGAGGAGGAGAAGCTTAATTGGGCTCAGGGTTTCAGAGGCCTCAGTCCATGGTTAACTGGCTCCGAAGCCCTGTGCATTATGACAGAAGGATGTCATGGAGGAAATCTGCTCACAAAGCAGTCAAAAAGTAGCAAGCAGGTCAGAAAGTGAGAAGAAAGATGCTATCTGTTAAAAGCATGGCTCCAGTAACCTGCTTCCTCCAAGCACGGCTGACCTCCTAACAGCACGTTCATCCATGAACTTATCAATGAACTAGTCAGTGTGTGAGTGTTGTACCCCATGAGTTTGTCACCTCATGAAAGGCCCTGAACCCCTGAGACTTCTGAGGGAGCACTTTTAATCTGTACCACAACCAGCAGATGTCATCCCAAAGAGATCTGAAGAGAATACCTTCCTACGTAGGTCTTATGATGCACATGTGCTGTGGGAATCTATCTGTGGGTTGCTTAAATGTATCCCAATGTTCAATTGATACTACTGCTTCCCATGGAAATGGAACATGAACATGAAAATGGTCAAAAATGTCTTTCCTTCTTTATTTTTGTATTTTTCATAAACCAAATATGCACACACATACACATACACACACACAGATAGATGTTTGTGTTATATCTTTACTACTTTGATTTAAAAACCATAAAACAGTAGTATGTTCAACATTTTAGTTGATATTTTAAAATTACCACCACTTACAAGCAATTAAGTTTTAAAGTTTTTGTTAAAATAAAGGTCTTTGTATAAATTGTAGTTATTGCTTCTTGTTAAAGTAGTAAAGAAAGCTTTATTGTGATAATTTGATGTGTGTTTACCGCAGACAAGTTCGTATGTTGGCATTATGATTTACTATAATTTTAGACTTTGGCTCTTAAATACGTTTAAAGACAATCCTTTGGGCAATAACAATATACGCTGCAGCTGCATGGGGGAAAAAGAGCAGAGCTCTTAGTGTGTGGAGTGGCTGGTCATTTAAATCTTTCACACATCAGTGGAAGAATAGATTTGTCAGTACTGAAAAGCACAAGATCATTTGCATATTATAGATTTATGATTAAAACTTATAATTTGACTGAAAACATGTATAGTTAAATGCTTTTGCAAATGTGTAATGTTCATGTAGCAAGCAAAACTTTTTTCTGTTGGTCTTTGTGATCACCTTATTCTGGAGCCTTACATGGTACTGAGTTTTAAAATGGCAGTAAAGGAACAGGTACCTCAAAAATCAATTCGATTGATTTCCATTCATGCAGATGCAGTAACTTTTACACTGGCTGATGTTCTTCCTTCCAAGTGGATTACAGCCCAGCGGTGGCCCACCTTGCCAGGTTTGTTCCCTCCCACTCCCCACCCACCACATTTCAGATGCTCTCAGGAGTGTTCTTGAACAAACAACCTGAGAAAATCGAGTCTATCGAGCTACTTTAACATTTTAAGTAGCATTATACTAAAATGAATTGGATTGACTATAAGTTTAAATAACTAGATATTATAGTAAAAGAATTATAAGTTTAAATAATAAGATACTATAGTAGAGAAACATTTATGACACAGGAAAAGATAAAATGTAATATTTATTGAATGCAAAATAATTTTATTTATCGGGCTGGGGATTTAGCTCAGCGGCATAAGCGCCTGCCTTGCAAGCAGGCAGTCGTGAGTTCGATCCCTGGTACCGATAAAAACGAAAAAGAAAAAAAAAATTATTTATCATTTAAAACTGTAAAGGTATCTGACAATTTAAAATGTATCAGGAATTTGAAGATGAAATGCAGCTCAGTGAACAGATTTACATGTTTTTAATGTTCCTATAAAGGTAACACCACCTGTCTCACCAGAACTATAAGATCAGGAGATTCTAGTCTCAGTGTTATTATTCAAGAACTTGACCCCTTGGCTCATACTTTTTTTGCTTCATTCACCCCTGTATCCTGATGGCTTCAGAATTTTCTAGCCCAGTCATTTCTACTAAGCAGCAAAGCTACTTATTGAATGAATGTATTTATTGTCTCTTCTAGGTGTTTCCGTTGTCACCATCCATCCACATCACGATTCAGCTTGTCGTTGTCCTGAGTTCTCAAGTTGCCCCTGATATCTGTGATCAGTGGCTCTAGCAGTCACCTTTTCAGCTGGTCTCAGCTCATGGAAGTGCCTGCCCTTCTGGGATTCCACCTCCATCCACACTTTCCACATTCTATGTTTGACGGGCACGACCCAGACCTTGTGATTCTGTACTGATGTCCTCTGTGGTCCTTCTCTGTTATCCACCGTAGATGTTGGGGTTTTGAACACCAATATGTCCCATCTGGATCACATTGATAGGTTTATAACAGATCTCTCCACCTACAGTTTGTTTTCCTCAAATTTTCCTCTTATTGTTCTCAGTAATTGGGAAAAATGAAAATTTAGTCATCTGACTGCTTCCCACTCCTTGTTTCAAGCCCCCACTGGCTTTTCATTGATTTCAGACAAAAAAAATTCCCTATTAAATTTTGACTAAAATATAATGTTATGCAGCCTCATTTTTCACATTTACCAAATGCTAGGATTTCACTTGATTAAATACTATTCTGTTTCTCTCATTACGGGTAACATTCCCATATCTTCTGTTCCTGGAGTCCGAGATTCAAAATGACAGAGCTATACACTGTTTGCATCGCTTAGCTAGAGAACACAGAGAGAACAAATCTGTTATTGAATAGAAGATGATTTTGTGAAGCTAATAATGTCCAGGAATATTTTTTAAATTTTATTTAAGGAGAAAAAGAAAAAAATCAGAAAAAGGGTACAAGTTATACAGAATTTCAAAAAAAAAAAATAAACAGGAAATCACTACTTAATAGATTACATACTGTCGTCTTAGAAATAGTTGTTCAAGTTACAAAATTAAAGCATAGAAAGTGGACATTCAAACAGTGAGACTGCACACAGTTCTGTTCAATGATCCAACAAAAACTCAGTAATACGGTTATCTATCTTATACGCTTAAATATACATGCAGTTATATCCTTAGATCACTTTCTTTTCCTCTCTTTTTTACAATGACAATTACAAATTTTGGGTTTTATTACTCCCATAGTTCTTATTACTTTTTTTTTATAGAGAATAAAGCCAAATGTAACATAACAAAACAGAGTCAGCCAAATCAAAAGGATGGACATAGTACATAATGTAAAAACAGAATACAAGGTGATCAACAATGGTTACCATAATGCCTCTTGCCATCTTACAAAGAACTGCCTACATCATCAGTTATAATAAAATTGAACAAAACAGTAAAGAACAAAACCAATAAAACCAAAACTTTGGAGAATTACAAGACTTCAAAAGAAGATAATACTCAAACCAGAATGGCCTTCATAGTGATCTTATTGTCTTCACAGTTGTTGCCTATACTCTCAAACTTGGTACTATCAAGCAGAACAGAATAGAGTAAAATCAGTCAAAACAAGATGGTGAGAACAACACAGGGCTTCAAATCAAGTTAATAGTAAATCAAAATGGTTACTATAATATATCCTGCTTTAAAAAATTTTTCCCTTAATTAAAAAGACAAAAATAAAAAATAATAACAAAGGAGATTGAGATAAAAGAGGACATAACAACAAAACAGCATAGGCAAGAACATAATCATTTAAGCAAAATAGTGTTTCACCACAAGATATCCCGATATAAAAGTGGTTACCATAGTGTTTCTTTCCTTGAAATCTTTGAGTATAATTCATATACTGTAGCATCAAATATATCAACACAGTGTAAAACCATTCAAAGTATTACAGGGTATTTAGAACCAACTCACAGAAAATGAACAATGGTTTTTGTTTTATCTCCTTGTCTATAAAAGTTTTTTTATATTATCACATATAGTAAAATCCAGAAAGATACAACATGTTAAGACTGATGGAGATAAAAGACAAAAGCTTGATATGGGACTTCAAAACAATATGATATTAAATGAGCACTAGCTATTATGATGTCTTGTTTTCTCCAAAATAGCTGTTCATACCATCCAACCCTCTCTGCCTCATTTCTGTCGAGCTCTTTTTCTGTCATTAGTTGTAAGATTGTCTTCTTTATTTCACTTTCTGCTCCATTCATTGTGGCCTCTTTGCCATTGTTTCTGGAATCTTGATGTTTTTTTACAATGTTCTGCAGTATTCTCTGTAGAGTTGAATTGGTGGTTGCAAATTTCCCTAGTTCTTCTTTACCCTGGAAGCACCTTGTTTCTCCATTAATTTCTAGGGACAGTTGTGCAGGATATATCAATCTTGGCTGGAGGTTATTGTCTTGCAAAGCTTGAATTTTTCACCCCATTCTCTTCGTGATTTGATGGTTTGTGCTGAGTAGTCTCCTGTGATTCTGATGGGTGTTCCCTTGTAAGTGATCTATTTCTTGTCTCTGATGGTTTTTAATATCCTGTTCTTACATTGGATTCTGGAATTTCGATATTATATGCTTGTGTGTAGCTCTTTTTTGGTTGTAGGTGGCTGGGGTCCTGTATGCGTCATAGATCAGAGTATCTTTATCTTTTCCCATGTTAGGGAAGTTCTTCTTAATTATTTCTGTGAATAGCCTTTGCAGTTCCCTTGTTTGTATCCCTGTTTCTTCCTTCACATTCTTAATTCTTAAATTGTAGATCCTCTTATCATCTTCTCGCCTTTGTATTGTTATTGCTTGTTTCCTTGTTATTTTTAAGAAGTTTATCCTTTCGTGTTCCCACATTACAAATCTGTCCTCCAGTTCAGATAGTCTATCCTTAGTTTCTTTCAAGTTGTTATGCCAGCTTTCAATAGAGTTTTTAATTTCCTGGTAATCTCTTTGAACCTGCTTCATGAATTCTACATTTTCTCTATTTTCTCCATCAAACAATTCTCCTCTTTTTTTCTGTTCTTCCATTCCACCATCTGTTTTTTTCTTGGGAGGTGCTTAGCATTTCTTTAGCTATTCTACTTATATCTTGCTTTACTTGGTTGAATACTTCACTTTTGAACTCGTCTATGAGATTCCGGAGATACTGCATTATGTCTATTGGTGCCATGCCTGATATTGCATGTTTTCTGTCCTCATTCTCTTTTGCATTTACCTTTCCTGGATCAGTGTTCTCAGGATTGGGACTGAAGATCCTTTCTTGTTGCTCCCTCTTCCCATATTTTTTGTTCCTTCCATATAAGCGTATATAGGAGGCCCAGGTTCTTTCTTTGTCAGTTACAGTTTGTTTGAATTGTGCCAGCTAGGTGTTCCCAACCACTGCAGGGTACTAGGGAGACACAGACCTGGGCAGCCTATGCTGGGCCCACCCCTCCAGGTCAGTCAATCTGCTGAAGGTTTCACTGCATTAGGGTGCACTGCCAGGCACAGAGACCTGGTTTGGCCTAGTCTACTGGGTCTTAGTCTGAGGCATCACCCAGGTCAAGCACTCCCCATCAGTCTCACTTGAGAGGGGAATATGTGACTGAAGTCACTGCAGCATCCTTTTCTGGCTAGTCCTCCCAGTCCCAGAAAGTTCTCTATTGGAGTCTCCTAGTCTATGGAAGGTGCCTTTCCTCTCATTCACCACAGGTCAATGCAGGGCTCCCTGCCAGCTCTGCTCTCAATTCAGTTTGCTGATTTCCGCTCTCAGAGCTTTTACATTTCTATCCCTACTATGCCAATTCAGATGCAGAGCAGTGGCAAGAAGTTCATGCTGCAGTTTCCAGAGGCATAGGTTCCAGCTTTGGCACTGAGACTTTAGCTGTTCCAGTTGTAGCATGGGATTGCATTTCCAGTTGATTTCTCTCAGCTTAGTTCATTCCTGGGTCAGCAGGGTATATTTCCCCCTTCTTAGGACTCCCCATACAGCACCATTCCTGGAATCTAAGCTGGCTATCTCAGAGAGCCTCTGTAGCTGCGGTTATCTACTGCCATGTTCTCCCAGTAGCTCCCCAGATGCAGAATCTGAACCAATGTCCAGGAATATTATGGAACCAGGAAGAATCATCTGAAGGCTGATTTAGGAAGGATTCGTGATGATTTTATAGATCTTATCTGACTACCCTTGGTGTGTTCCTCTTATCCTCTCTATTCAACCATTCACATCACTGTAGCCACTCAAATGTAGCAATATGAAATTAGCATTATAAAAGCAGTGATAGGAAGACTTGCTGCTTGGCTTTGGAAAGAATTTACTTCTTTACAGTTCAGGTATTTTTGACATTTCATATTGCACATCCAACACTATTAAGTCAGGAAAGGACCTCTGACCATTCCAACTTGTGTACTAATACAACTCAGACTGATAGGACTTTCTGCTTATGGAGCACACAGCAGATAAGAGTCAACCCTTCAATGTATTAACCTGTATTGAAGAAAATAAAGAAGATTGCACCCTTCCCATACAACCTGGCAGAGACAACCCTGGCATTAGTATTCTGATGGTCAAAATTGTACTAAACATAATTATGTTCACTATATTTTCAATGTCTCTAGTTTTAAATGGTAGTCATGAAACCTGGATTAATCTAGTCAGCATTTATAAGGAGTAACCTAAGTTATGTGGCCCTACATGGAGATCAGGTTTTCTCAATGTTGGCACTATTCACATTTGGGGATGGGATAGTTCTTTGTTCTTGTTCTGGAGAGACTGGACTGTGCACTGCAGGGTGCTTAGCAGAACCTCTCTCTTCTACATGCTACATTCCAGTGCACCTTCTGCCCAGTTACGGCAACCCAAAAATGTCTCCAAGTATTGCCAGGTATCTCCTAGGAAACCTTTAGAGGCACAATTATCTCTGGCCAAGAAATGCTAATGCAAATAGAAGACATGCTTTTTTAAAATAAGTAACTGTGTTACTTAGTTTTCCATTACTCAGGTATTTACCTGAGTGTGGGTGATTCATTTAAAAAAATAGGTTAATTTAGTCCACAGATTTGGAGGTTGAAGGTCTCAACATTATGGCACCTGGGCTGCTCTAGGACCCTGGAGTTGTATCAAATGATAGCAAATCACATCATGGTGGGATCACATGGAAGAGGGTGTGATCACGTGATGGTATAGGCAGCTGGAGCATGAGTGAGAGGTCAGGTGTGCTCTCTGATCGTAATCAGCTCTTTTTTTAAATTTTATTTAAGGAGAAAGGAAAAAAAAACAGTGAAAGGGTACAAGTTATACAGATTTACAGAAGAAAAAAAATATGAACAGTAGGAAATCACTAGTTAATGGATTACATATTGCCATCTTAGAAATAATTGTTCAAGTCACAAAATTAAAGCTTGTAGAGTGGACATTCCAACAATGATACTGCAAACAGTTCTGTTCAGTGATCCAATAAAACTCTGTGATATCATTTTCTATCTTATACACTTAAATATACATGCAGTTATATAGTTTAGAGCACTTTCTTTTCCTCTCTTTTGTACAATGACTATTACACATTTTGGGTTTCATTGCTCTCACGGTTCTTATTGCTTTTTTGGGAGAGAGTAAAACCAAATGTGACATAAC